CGTATCACAGTCTGACAGTGTGCGATACGTATCACAGTCTGACAGTGTGCGATACACATCACAGTCTGACAGTGTGCGATACGTATCACAGTCTGACAGTGTGCGATACGTATCACAGTCTGACAGTGTGCGATACGTATCACAGTCTGACAGTGTGCGATACGTATCACAGTCTGACAGTGTGCGATACATATCACAGTCTGACAGTGTGCGATACGTATCACAGTCTGACAGTGTGCGATACGTATCACAGTCTGACAGTGTGCGATACACATCACAGTCTGACAGTGTGCGATACGTATCACAGTCTGACAGTGGGCGATACGTATCACAGTCTGACAGTGGGCGATACGTATCACAGTCTGACAGTGTGCGATACATATCACAGTCTGACAGTGGGCGATACGTATCACAGTCTGACTGTGCGATACGTATCACAGTCTGACTGTGCGATACGTATCACAGTCTGACAGTGTGCGATACATATCACAGTCTGACAGTGTGTGGTAATGATTCAGTCGAGGTGCTTTCTCTGGAGTCGACGAAGACTTTCTCTTCAATTATTGAAAAAGTTGGCCAAAGAAGCAGTTCAAAGTCACCACAACAATTAGAGCCTCCAAAGATAAATTTATTTTAATTTCCGATGAAAGTTCTAGGGAAAATGCCTGCATTAAAGGGTCATTTCAATGTCAATTGTATGCAATGAATATTCATAAATGTGATAAACATGTAAATTAATGTATGTTCAGCCGTGTGCACTAACAACGCAAGCAATTGCTGAATACTTCAATTTTATTGTCGTTAGTGTGAGTTTACATACAGTGTTCAGTGCATTTAATTTAATTTACAATTAAATTTGTTTAGTGTTTGAAAGACACTGTCTTGACCTTCTTTTCATATTTGTGTCTATATCGTTATATTTTCAGATTGGGCCGTCCTACTGAATAGGAAGACTCTTTTGAGTCGTAGTCGTCAACTTCGGGATATGTGCAAGACGTGTAATTTTACTGTGAATACTGCAGACTACCCATGCATAATAAGTGCCTGCCTTGTGTCCATGGAACCAGATCCAACCATTAGAATGATGGCTGGTAAGTTTATCAATGCCATCATTTTATATATGCTTATGTTGTTTCTTTGCTTTGCTATTAAGTGTATGTAGATACATGATAGATTCTGTTGCCACCATGTTTTATTCAAGCATTGACCATTAGCTGGTAACATATCGAATACTGTGTAATACTCCTGACTGTTTCTGAAGATTTGAAATCTGACAATGCATTGAATATGTAAAAGTACAATCGATTTGAATTAATTTCACTGCACAAAATGTTTAATTAGTCGATTAGCACATTTTGAAAGGTAAAACCAGTACCGTCAAATCTGTATTAGAAGCCGCATCCCTAATAGAAGTCGCACCCATTCTTTTTGAATAATTGAGAATCTAAAATTCACCATTTCTCATATGTGTAGATGCTCTAATAGAAGCCGCATCCCCTTTGTTGCATTGTACCATTTTAATAGAAGCCGTGGTTTCTAATACAGATTTTATAGTAATGTTTTAACAGCTGTTATGATGATATTAAACAGATGAAATGTATTGTACCCATTCGCGCAATAAGTCTGTTTTGGCTTGCCTGTAATACAGTGATGGGAAAGTCATAGTATGGGCAAAATATATAGTGAGTAAAACAATTTATTTTGTTTTCAGATTCTGTATCAATGGATAGGACTGGAAGGAGTGCCTTTTCTCAGCAAAACCAAACCATGTTACATTCACCTGGTGATGCCACCTGTACACATATCCAGGTGTTCCCAACAAGCGCCACAACACAAGTAGCATCTTCAGGCTACACCACTGAGACGGTTGATCCGTTTGGTGGAGCCAACGACAGTGCAATGGTGGATGATCTTTTGTTTCCAGAGACTGATTTAAATGATGATGATCTTGATTTTTTTGATTTTGGACCGGAATCTCCTACACATATTGGGTCACCTGATCCATCCCAATTAAGTTGCACCGATGGTAGAGCTGGCTCACCAAGTGCAACACAAACTGGTTTACAGGTCAATGGTGATATATCCTCTAAGGTATGGTACAATTTCTTGCTACGGTAATACTTAAAGCCTGTAAATTTGAGCACGCCACACATATCCGAACTGTTTGCATAACCGAACAAAAAGCTTGTCCCCCTAACAGTCCGGATAATCGACGTTCTACTGTATTAAACTCAAATGACTAAACATGGTGATATACCTCTGAAATATTGTGAGAAAAAACAATAAAATAAAGAATGTTTTTTTCAACATCAAACTATCCTGTTCCATGGACAAACAATTTCATTGGATGGACAACATTTCTTCAGTTTCTCAAGAGGGCAGTGTTTCCTTGACTCGTGTATTTTTCATCTTTTTCACTTCTCAGAGTACATCTGGACAGTTGCTTGGTGCGGATTCAGAAGAGGCATTTATATTACAACAACCATTAGCATTGGGATTTTACACATCTACAACACCCACTGGTCCACTTCCCAGCTGGTTCTGGGTTTCATGTCCACAAGCTGAGACGTCCTGCCCCATCTTTCTCAAGGTAAACTCATTGAATAGTGTTAGTAAGTAGTGTTATTGGCCATTATGGTAGGTTCAATCTGCTGCGGTCTCTGAGCTTAAAGTTGTTTCTTTTTTTCTGTACTTGGAATTAAACATCAGCCTGCAATACTGGTCCATGTCTATAATCACTGAGCCTAAAGAATAGATTTCCAGGGTAGCATATACAACACAAATAAGTACTAACTGATTTTTCACTACACAGCTCCCTCTGTTGACGAATTGATTAAATCTGCAAAACGTGTCAATCAAATTTTTCAAACTTAAAATGCTTGATAGTCTTTGTGTTCTCATAACTGTCTATTTTGTTTTCAAAAAGCCTTTTCATTCTACTTTGATTTTTTTCTCTGAAAGCTAACATTTTAAGTTAAAAGTTATTCACATCCAGGGGCACACACAGCCGAAGGAGTAAAGCGACCAAGCTAGCGCACAAACAACATGGCACATCGACCTGGAACCGCCATATCGTTTCTGCACCGTTTTAGCGGTGTATCTATCACCATTAAAATATTTTTGGAGTAATTTCAGTGTATTTGGTGTCCAGACACATTGTCAGTTGGTGTTGCTGGGAAGTTTTCACGGAGAAAAAGAAATTTGAGAAAGATTACATGTTGTAATAGGGCACTAGCTGAGACTATCAGGGCGATGCGCCCCTGTTTCCTGGTTTAGAAAAACCCCTGCACGTAATACACAAAGGATTTTGTATGTTTGATGTATATAAGGGAATTCTTGAATTTAGATATGTGGTTACTTTTGTTGCAAACAGTAGTAGTAAACAAGTACCTTGTTTTTGTTTTGTAGACTGCCTTGCATGTCCACACTGCGTCAGTGCATCAATCAGATGACAACATAATGCAGCATCGTCACACTCATCAGTTGGATTCCAACCTCACAACGGACGTTCTTAGGTTAGTTGATTAATATTGTGAAGTAAAAAAAGGCATACCTAATTATTTGAATTCTATTTGTTATAATTATTATTTTTTTATGTTTCTCTACGTTTAGGTATGTATTAGAGAATTACAATGCTTTATCATGGCTAACTGTGGATCCATCCACCAAAGACAGACGTTCCTGTTTACCAATTCATTTTGTGGTACTCATGCAGCTTTACAATACATTATCAGCTTTACTCTAACTCAACAAGAGATGTTACCAATGTAATGAACTCAATAGTTTGTTGTTGCTGCCTGGGAATAATGATAAGATATCAACTCGTGACTTGTATGTGGTATTGTTGCCATAGAGACATCACAGCGATAGCTACGCTTCAAACTTATCTCGTATGAACTACATTGAGTCTATCGTGCAAGAGTCGCATCCTTTATAATGAATATCACTGTAGACCAATGAATTTTTATCTCAGTAGTCATGTGATGCAGAACATTAATTCGGCATTAACTCAAGCGGTTAATATTGCCGATTATTTTTGAACAAATATACATTACGTCACATCGTACGTCTCCGAACTGTTTATCAGAGATTTTGAGATACTCTTACAGCTGATGGCTGGCAGCGATATAGGTATTATTTGGCTTCCAGAAAACTTAAAATTGAATTGGTCGCCAAAAGCAAATGTTAAAAATGTACAGTATAAAAAGTAGAGGTGCGCCTTTCTGAGAAAGATGTGTCATCTACTTATGTATATATGTTTATAGAAGCAATGTAAAACATTTAAAATATACGAAAGTCTGTAACTTATTTTTATGGGGAATAGCAATGTATGGCAAATTGTATTATATTATGAAAAAAAATGCAACTTGAGAGAAGAAAAAAAACAGTGGTTTCTTAAAATCATACATCTGGTTATCATAAGTTCATGTGACTTTTGAATTGCAATGCAAACTTGTGAGTGTACCCGTTGTGTATATACATACAAGCACTAACTTTCCCGCTGGATTATCATTAGCTCAGTACTCTACAATCAAAGACAAAATTTACGTTCAATACATTGCCTGTCACAAGAAGGAATTCATGAAAATTAGTTTTAAAATAAATGATGAGTCATAAGTTGACTTTTTATTGTGTTCCTTGTCAAGAAATTCTATTTTATATGGTCATATAAAAATTCTCTGAATATTCTTAATTTACTATTCTGCTTTATAAAAATAATTTATCTGTCGGCTGTACAGGGGTACAGTGTTTTGCCTCCTTCCCCTCCCCCCTCCAGCACCTCACTTCCACTAGTACTTTGGTGTTGTTGTTTTTCTACAAGTGCATTTACTAATTGTGACTGAGTTGAGTTGGAAACCAAAGTATTATCTTACTGTTATAAATTATGAAGCAGTCGTTAAACTGCGCAAATTTCTTGGACAAGCAGCTTATGTATGTGAATTGCTGCTTCTCATCCCCCTTCCATCCTACAACATTGTGAACCAAATGCTTGGTGTATTTATGTAAATAGTTGCTATAGCAACTGTAAACAAAATACAAGGTGTACAGTATTACTGTTTTGTGTACATTTTCTTTTATTATTCTTGTTATGCGTATATTTCCCTTCGCAGTTTGTTGACAGCAGTGGGAATTGCTACCGTGTATAGATTATTATTTTTTAATTATTTCTGTTCCTTTAGTGGAAATTACAGAAAAGGGAGAGTCCAAGACGAAAAGCATATTATATTTGTTGGGTTCTATATATATATTTGTAAGTACAGGGAAGTAGCCTGGATGTTGTTTCAATCAATTTGTGACCAGAGACAATGATATTAATGACAGATAATTTATACTTTTTCACACACGATTTGTAGAATAAAAATAAGTTATTCCTGTTAAAATGTCTTCTGTATTTACTTCATATAAAGTATAGTGACTGTTCAAATTTATTAATTCAAAGTTTGAAACAAGGAGTTACAAGAAGTGTCCGTCCATTCATCTACTCATTCATCCATCCACAGTCATATTTCAGAACTCTTTGGACTCAATCCGTATATTCTTTTCATGTGCCTAGTATGTGGGACATATGCACTTGCAGCGATTTTGTAATTCAATTCAAGATGGCCGACTGGCAGCCATTTTGTTTTTTGAACATGTGGAATCTTGGAAATGCTTTGTCAGTTTTTGTTCAATTTAGTACTTTCATCATACATGCCAATGACAATTTATTTCACAATCAGATAAAAAATGGCCAACTGGCAGCCATCTTGCTTTTTGGCAATACTACTATATCTCAAAGACTTTATACTTATGGCGAATAAATCATACATGTTGATAATCATGTCATTTTGTTTCATAATCAGATCAAAGCCATCTTGTTGTTTTTTTCAAATTTGTTCGTTTGCGATCAGATCCAAAATGGCTGACTGGCAGCCATCTTGTTTTTTGAAAATGTATCTTGGACGTGCTTTTTTTCCCTTCAATCTAGATATGTTGTGAAACATGTCCATGGCATTTAGTTTTACAATCAGTTCAAAGATGGTCAAAGACAGGCAGCCATTGTTTTGGCCATACTACTATATCTTTAACTGTTTTTTTATTGATATTTAGCACATGTGTCATTAATGTTTATTTTGTAATTTTGACTGTCTTGTTTTAGGGATACATGTGCATGATGATTCGTTTTATAATCATATCCAAGATCAACTGTTAGTAATCTTCATTTTTGGTCATAACTACTATATCCATGATACCCATGTGCAGTCTCACATTCATCATTGCATGGCTATGTTTATTTGTAGGAATATCTTCTGAAAGATGTATTAAATGTTCATTGTCAAAAAATGCATAAATATAAAAAAAAATACATAGATCATTTAGTATAACATGAGTGAGTCTGGTTGCAAATGATTTCATGAATTACAAGATTTTCTCCTGAGATGCATATTAGATCGTAGAATAGATAACTATGAGTGTGAGTAAACTTTAACTGACACTTCAAAGTGTATATTGTCAAGCATACAATGTACTTGGTATATATTCATGTTAGACTTGATTGTCATTTGGTTTGACCATAACAACTAAGATGGCACGTGTACGATACAGCAGACACTGGATACAAATGCATATGAGAAATAGAAATATAAAATTTGTTTTGCAAATTTAAAAGTCATTTAATTAATCTGATTTTTGTTGATACAAGATTAGTCTTATTACATTTACTGTCCAAAAACTACAAACATTTGTTTGCTTATATTATGCATGAATACATTTTTTAAGTTACCGGTATTCCTTAGAAATATTTTTGTGACAGGCGACATTGAAGTCACTGCTGTCTCACCAACCCTTTTTAGTGCTAGTTCAAGTGTATGTGTGCCAAACAGTGTCCCAAAGCTAATACCTTGTAATTGAAAAGCAGGGCAGACTGTACTTGGTTATATACTGCTAAATTAATCCATGGAATATGTCCATGATTAATCTAACCACGAACATGTTAACCACTGTACCATATATTTTTGAGTCTGACAGATCGTATTCCAAGTACAAATGGTAGTCTATTCACCACATCCACTGTCCATATTGGAGTGCCTCCGGGCTCGCAATTGGGTCATTTTTAGCTCCGCTGTCGACTTTGTCGAGCGGAGCTTATCATATGAGTGATTGTCCGGCATCGTCGTTCGTGTCAATGTTTTACTTTTTCGACTTCTTCTTGAAAACTACAAGCCTGAATGCTTTGATACTTCGTGTATATGTACCTTGGGTAGAACTCTCTCAGATTTGTTCATTTCATGATGATATCTTCAATTCTCTAATTTTGGTGAATATTTTTGGTAAAAAGTGATATTTTCAACTTCTTGTTAAAAACCAAAAGTTCAATTGCTTTGATATTACATATATAGATACTACATGTAGACCTTTCTCAGATTTGTTCATTTTGTGATGATATCTTCAATTCTCTAATTTTGGTGAATATTTTTGTAATTTTTGGTAAAAAGTGATATTTTTGACTTCTTGTTAAAAACTGTAAGTCCGATTGCTTTGATACTATACATATTGTTCATTTTCTAATGATGTCTTCAGTTCTTTAATTGAAATGTGCATTGCTAACAGCGGAGCTATCTCAGCCAATAGGCTGCTTGTTTCTTCATAATGTTTGTGTATGACCTACCATCTCTTACTAAGTTTTGTAGTAAAGTAAGAGAACATTGATTTGTGTTACCGGTATATATCACATAGTGGTAATCAATTTAAAAGGTCTTTATTATTTACAAATCAGTGAATGGATAAATATAAATAGATTTAAATGTAGATAAATCAAAATCAATAATTTTCGATACACATCCGCCTTGAATTGTCAACTAAACATGTTAATGTCCAGACTAATGATTTCAACGTTTATGTTGTTTACAATTGGATTATACAGCTATGATTGTCAAATCTGTTTTGAGACGACTTGGAGCAATTTGGATAATTTGTTGACGTATTGTGAACGAATGGTTAATGTACATAGTGTACAGTGTGGCAGTGGTAATATTTCCACTTGTTTATTTGTTAGTTAGCGCCCTCAGTGGCATTTGTTGTAAAAGACACTGCCGAAATATATATTATCGTGTATGCCTGACAGATACCTAAATTCTAAAAATAGCACACGCCTGGGTTATACCTCATGGAGCTGCAACTCATAGACCATTTTGTACTAGTTACACTCTCCTTGTCGCACTCCCATGTTAGGGATTGGTCAGTTACTTTGGTGGGGGGGGGGCAGAAGCATTAACAGTTTTGGCTCTGACATGATTACAAAATATTTATATGTGCATTGAAAAAATCATGGTTTGCCATAATTTTGACATAATTTTTAGTGTTTGCATCTAATAGTCTCTAGGAGGGGAGGGGGAGCGTAAACCCCAAAAAACGACTACAGAAAAGGCTGCAGGAAGTAGGGAAATCTATGCTGGTAAAGATAGTAAATAAAAGCAAAGCTGTGGAGTACTCACTTGTTAAACGCCCTTATAAGATAGGAAAAAAAGGATTTGAATCTAGGCGGTTTGAACTCTTTGAAAACTAATTTGGATTTAAAATATCTTTCATATCTTATAGACCAGGAATGTTTTACACCCAAAGCACAGTCTGTGCTTATGAAAACAAAGGAAACTTTGATTTTTGCTTAAATTTGTGTTGGATTTTGGTATTTAACAAAGCAAAATATGCATATTTAAAAGTTAAAAAACAAAACAACAAAAAAACTATTTATTTTTTCATTATTTATTTTAATTTATATATCAGCATTTTCACAAATTTAACTTTTTTAACTGAACAAAAACTGTCACTGCTTTTTGTACTAATTGCTGTGTTGTCTTTCCGTCTCCTGTTATAATTGGATAAATTCAGTAAATATCTTATACAATGGTGACTTCATAATCTGATATCAGCAGCACATGGACTTGGGATGTGTTTAAAACTTAACTGTATAATTGGGTTTCTAGCCGCATTGCATAATCTGTTAGTTATTTGGCAACTTCAACCCCAAAATATTTAGCCTATAACATTTGTTGCATCAACAAATTTATAGGCAATATGGGTAATAGTTATTATTAAAAACACATTTGTACGTTTTTAACATTCTTATCTTTTGTTCTAAAGTATTTTTTTTTAAATAAATGCATAAGCGCGTGTGTGAATTCTGGAAAACATGGTGACCCCGTATTCATGATATCAAAAACAGGGTGACCCCCCTATTCGCAAAATCAAAAACAGGGTAACCCCCCTACTGATCCACCACCCCCTTAGGCCGAAGTAACTGACCAATCCCTTAAAGGGCGGTGGTCGTCGCGCCGCGTCCTGTTCGATATGGACCCCATAGCGACATACACAATGCGTGTAAAATACATTGTTTATTTACATGAAATTCAAACACGTGCTGCGTGACAACCACCGCGCTTTAACATTATTAGTATTCCTGACAATATTTGAATTTTCTTTTAAAGTTGAAGCGGTAGGGTCGTCCCCTGCGCATGTGCGGGAATTGAGTCCCAAGCGACGATAACAACACACGCTAAAAATGCAAAGGCTCATGGGCAGACGCTTGCTTGTAATAAAATGACACGCTATGGCCATCTGACGCATGCGCAGGTGACGACTCCCCCGCTTTAAACTGCACCAAAATATTTCTCCCGCCATGTAACAAGACAATCAAAAACAAATTGTTTCACTACCGGCTGGTGTTGGTTGTTAAAAATGTAAAAATATGGTAAGCGAAACTCAACAGATCCGATTAGGAATCCTTGTCGTAAATAGATTTCGTATCTGATTTATTGAGCAAAATTCTGCTGACTTTCAAAAATTTTTTGACCAAATTTTGCTCAACACTTATCCAACCTCTGCTTATTAGGAATAATGTCACCTCGTCCCACTGTAACATATATCATGTCAACTCTACCAATAACTTATCTGTTTGAACAAACACCATCATATCATCATGTTTACCACGTGTTATCGACAAATCATCGACGAGTGGTGGACTGAACTGTGCTAGATTTTTAAACGTTTGGAATTTTGTGTATTTCCTTGAGCACGTAAATTGCGGAAACAACACATGTAACCTTCACCCTGAGAGTGTTCCCTTTCTGCCTCTAGACGACAGGTCACAAATGAAAAGTGCATAACGTATGTCGACACTATAATGCTATCATAATACTAAATTTTCGTCGAATCTCATCATGCCGTTTTCCTCCATGGCGTGTTTCGTTTCCATGAAATTCCGTCCATGTTTTCTAATTTGATGCTATTATATTACAGCAGAGACCAGTGATTGAATTACGCTGTAAAGTGATGCATTTCACGCACCACGTTGTATGGGACCCACACCGAACACGACGACTGTGGCGCTGTCTAGTATTAAAAACATGTGATGTGATCCTTTCACGACGAATTAAAATAAACAGAGGCATATATCACAATGATTCATAACATGATAAGCTGGGTGATGTTGATTGTTGTAGGAAGGGTGGTTCGGAGAATATTCCTACCTAACAATTCCAAGTTTACGACCAAAATATTTGTGGTACGAATTACAAATATCTAATGGCTTTATTATAGGTGGGTACCCACAGGAAATGTACTGGAATTCCCGTCTTAATAACTTCATTCCAATATGACGTCACATGAGGTATATTTTTCGGGATAAATTTTCCAGGTCTCAACAAATATTTGAAATTGAGTGATGACCAGACATCACATCAGTGACCACGGCTAGACTTTATTTTCCAATTTTGGGAATGAAAACGCCATAGTTCGAAGAATGTCGCAACTAATACATACGTGTAATAGACAGATCCACAGTAATCCAATTCGCGCTGCATCTTGGGATACACCGTACATAATAATATATCATCACCCCCTACAGTGGTCTCAGGAATGTGGCTCGTGTTTCAGTATAATGTGGGAGGGGCGATAAGTCATATTAAAAAAGCAATATACGAAAGGGAAAAATATCCCCCACCAAGAGCAAATCAATATAACACGGTTAATGTTTTGAATTTATATTAGGGTTGTGCTAGGACAGTTTTCAACTGACCAATCAGCGTTCTAGAATGTCTCTGAATGCCGATGTCATAAAATATGCTCTCAAATCTAGGTTCTGACACAGACCTTAGAAAACAAAACGCTTGGACAAATTATTTTGAATTTTAGACACTGGTCCTCGTCACCTACGTAATCTCAGGAGTGCACTAACCAAAAAGTTCTGACATAAGTTGTTTGAAACCGGCAGTAGAGAAACGTTGTATAATGATGACAATACAAAATTAAAAGTCATATGATACTGAAAAAATAACATGGAAAAATATCTTTAAAATTTATTGAGAAAAAAAATCTACAAGTTTGTAATGATGTCTAAACTAAGAATAAGCATGTTCAAACAATTGAAACAGTAGACATAATAAGACAAAATTAACTTAACAAATATAATTTATCCAGTTTGTGATTCAAAGGAAATTGTTTTGGGCTGTGTTCAACTTGGTGGTTGGAATTTTGTACACTCGAAGACATTCACTCGAGTATATTTGTAGTGATTATGCGACAAGTTTTATCAAATTAAAACCAAACTGCGATTTCATCAAAAACTTGTATATGCATGACCACATCTGAGTTTTGGAGTGTATTTGTGTTACTGTGGGACCGTGACTCGAGGAAGGAGCGCACTAAAACAACCTGCAACCTGAAAACATACAAATACAGTTGACCGCCACGTACGCCATTTGCCTTCTATCACAGTCCCTCTATCCCCGGTCTGGAAACGCTTCACAGTCTACTGTCCCTGGGCTGGTTGCGGGTAAATAAACAGTTCAGACCTTGGACAATCAGCCACGAAGCTGAGCGTACACTAACTTTAGCATTGCGATCACAAACTTTAAACAGAGATAGAAGGTCTGTGCTTCTGTGTTGATAATAAATATGCCCCCAGTGTTGTTTACGGAATGTATCTATCCACTGATAGGTATCACTGTTCTCATAATCAGAAGAAATGTGTAAACCCTCCCCTAAGCAAACATATCTCTTTACCAAGTAAACACAAAAATGCATGTTTTCTGCATAAAAATAACAAAATAAGTTATTATAGCAAAGAATAGTCAGTTTGCAAATAATCACAGCACATGAAAATCCTTTAAAATCCAGAAATATTTCTTTGATATGTCCAGAGACTCTACAATAGATACGTCTCATACGGTATACTGTCTTTGGTGCACGTCCCATCATGCAGTAGCTCATTCGGCAATAAATTGGTACATACGTGCGAATTAACGCGACATTGGTCAGGAAATGCAGTTCGGTTTCACTAAATCAAATCACTTTCATATTACGGGAGCATCTCAGAGTACGGGTTGTGTTTATTTCCATCTAGTAAATGTAGCACTGTGTCCTGAACTTAGGGATAATGAGGGCAGAGTACTTACACTCTATCCGGAGTACGGTAGCAACCGATGTAACGCTCATACACTCGTCTGCATGTATTGTAGCAGTGAAGTATGTGTTCTCAGTTCGACGCTACATCGTATATAAGTGCGTGTTTCATAGATTCAAACAAATTATATATCAAAACGATTGTAAAATTATACGACCCCAAAAAGGATCCTTTAAAATCAGTCTGGTCGTCGAATAACAGTACTAAGTATGCCACGCTATTCGACACACTTTTCTACAAGGACAGCTCTGTATCGTGTATCAATAACACATTCTAAATCCAAACTCTTACAAAACATGTTTTGCTACATACTAGTAATACATTTAAGTTAGGATGCACTTTAAAACATTGACCGTGGTGGGGTGTTAAGTTTTAAACATACTAATGAACTGTTTACTATCCCAAGCCCCTTCAATGGACTTAAAAAACGCCGCGGCCCAGTTGAGAATTACACACAAAATATATTAGAAATTTTCTATTCTTATAAAGTGATTTTTCAGGGTGCTTGTTTTCTGTTATTTACATATTTGTAAGTTTAATTAGTTTTCAACCAGAATTCTGATATTTTTGGAAAGAAACTTCAAGTACACGCTGCAAAGCGTTTGGCAGATTCCCAAAAATAAGTAGCTAACGAATTAAAGTAAATAGTCTCTAAAGCATCACCCTATATTTAATACGTGGCCAATTTATGTTATTCGCTTCGAGGGGGTCCGACCCAGTCCGGTTGGTCTGCGCCATCCCCCGTCCAGCGACTCGGAAGAGATCACGATTTCAATCAAAATAGGAACAACAAATGTTGATTGCTGTCAACGTTATGATAATTTACGTATTTTTCGAAATCATAGCGTTATATAAATGGAACACGCCAGCAATTACACACACACACACACGCCTGCAACGCATCGCCAACTTGCTTCCGTAGAATCAATATCAGTTGAACTGCCCGGTCTGTCTTGGCATTGTGATGCTAAGCAGGTGAGCTTTACGTTATTATTGTTAACGACCGAGACAGGTCATTGCCTCACAGCGACGGACCATTACGAAGACAATCTTAGTATCTGTGCGGATATCAAGACTAAAGGTAGGTTACAGCTCGTTCTTTCTTCTGTATTTACACGAAATAACATGATTCGTCTTGATGGCAGAGCGTAGAAGTGGTGCTATGTCACCGTGTAAAGACTTCGAAACACCCGCTACCGTTTATTATTACTTGCGCTCTATAACCAGATTACCGGCGACTTACGAGCAATAATTTCACTGCTAGCTCGATCATTATTAACCACGACTTAGCAGATAAACCACTTAGAATAAAGAGATGAGTTTAGCTATCATCGTTATAATAATTCATTCGTTAGCTTGTCACGGTGATTTTGCTCTCAATGCGTGATAACCTATTTGTGTAGTCAAGTCAAAGAAATCATATTACGAGGTGTGACTACCCTGTGTCTGCGCGGAAACGTTCTGCTGATTGTTTAAAGGGTGGCAGTCGTCGTGCCGCGTTCTGTTCGATATGGGACTCATAGCGACGTATACAACGCGTGTAAAATACATTGTTTATTTACATGAAATTCGAACACGCGCTGCACGACGACCACCGCGCTTTAAGGAGAGAAGCAGGGGTCGTTGATATTTTGCTGTTAAACAGTTGGATATAGCTGTCATATTTATTACATGGCAGGCTTCGATGGTGTATAATATCATTTTTCTACCATGCACTGCATCTAACGTTTCCATGACCTTTCACCTTTTTTATTTGTCAGATGTAATAATTAGGGACACTCTGGTAGCTTATGTGAGAATTACCCTTTGTGGCAAATTCCACACAATTATAAAGACCGTAGACCATACATGTTTTTATTGATTATCATTATATGTTCAATATTATGATAGTTTCATTATCATTATGAATTATACATATCGGCCATTAGTATAATTGGAATATTGTTGTAATAGCGTCAGTACATTGTCAGTAATTCAGTTTATCGCGGAGTGTTTTGTGACGTCATAGGGAAATGTGGTCACCAGATGACCGTGGCAGTATTCCAACCGCCCGTTTATTTTACCTCAGACATACATCGTTATATTTGCAAACCATCGTGTGTCCGTGCAATAAATGCTACATATGTTCATGAATACTGAGTGGGCGGAAAGCTAATGTTATTTACGTGAATAGAAATGCGGAAATTATGCCGTGGGGAAAGATTTTAACATTTTTGTATTTTAATACGGTGCGTTTGCCTTAATGATACACTAGTGTCACCATGACAACATGCCTATGGCACTGTAGACAGATTAAGACCACACCCAATGTTGATTTCGACTGTTTTTGAAAAGGCAAACCAAACTGTAAACGTGGCGGGCACTAAAAGATGAACAAACTCAGGTCACATATTTTCCGTCTAATTTATCATATTTATTAGCGGTGATGTGTTTTTAATGAAAATTTGAAGTCTTAGTCTTAGCCACGCCTCGTCATGAATAGAGCTATTAATGAAATTTCACCATTTTCGGCGCGTTTTAATACGCTCCTGAGGTGTACAAGTAGGTTGTACTAATATTTACAATGGGTATCACAAAGACACCTCTACGATAACAAAACAGTAAAAGAGATCCAAGAGTCATTAGATTATTCATATTGTAATTTCATCTTCGAGTATTATTTCAAGGCCATTGCTTATAAATATTCCATTACTCAGCGCTTTCAGTAAGATTAAAACTCACGCTACATAGGGGATTGGCACCACGTAATGTTCGTTGACCTATGAGTTTCGTGTCGTCGACTATAATACCGCAAAAGAGAATATCAAATTCACAGTCAATGTGTGAACAAAATGCAAACAAGTTGTGTTGTTGAAATTAATGAAACACTTAGTAATTAATTATTTTCCTTCAAAATGCCATTTTATGCCGAACCCCTCACTTTAACTCGCACGTACGTCCGCGTTTTCAGGTTAACAAGCAGTCGTACAGCGGGACGCCGTCTGAAATGTTACCTGATATCAGTCGAATATTAAACTTCATAGCAGCAGTCGTCATAGTAACCAGAGTGTTATTAAGACGCAAATTACCCACACCCTTTCTTTTTATTTCAATTATCCCTGAATAAGATATACTGAACTCAATTAGAATAGGTCTACTTGAAGTTAGGTTTGTGACAAATGTCAACATTTCAATTAAAAACGTGAATATATATATATATATATTATTGAAGACAAAATTAAAAACATTATTTCTCCACGTCTTACCATACATTATATATGTATTATTATAGTGAAGGCAAAGTACCGCGTTTTAATTATCAGTTATTGTCATGTGAATTTTGATTGTGCCCATTCACTTATCATGCCCATGCCGGAATGTTTCGATTTTAAGCCGATGCTTTTTAATCACTGGAAAGGTGAATCCGCAATCCGAGAAACAAATATAAAATAGTACCGTCCGACACGAGTACGAATATTCTCATGTCGTGTTTGAATGTGTGGACTCAGTGGCGTTTCTATTTCACGGGTAATCGATATTGATTTTTTTCTTTCTGACCGGTTAAAAACATACTCTACGTGTTTTATTCACACGATACGATGTCGAAAGACAGGTACACACAACGTGTATGCAAACTAGGTAATCAATGTGCAAGGTAGCGACACGACATTATTATTTGATACTAAGCTTGTGATGGTGAACTTGAAACACACAATAATTCCTAAAAGTGATGAAAGAAAGATTTACTTTCAGTTATAACAACATCCTTCGAATTATATTTTATTTTTATTTTTGAAAAAATGAAGATGTCACAGTTTGAGGCCTGCTTAAATATTCTGATCTCACACTGGACAGGGTCTTGCTAGCAACTGTCTCACGTCGGCAACTCATCAGATTGTAAATATCCCTTGTTATGTAAATCACAAGTACATACTGATACTAGGGCGGGACGTTGAATCTCTCTTACACCGAGAAGTGTTAACCCTTCATCGCCCCGATTGCGTTGACGTCACCGGGGTCAAAGTTCACCAATGCTAGAAGGGATATCATAATCGCTTCAAAAACAGACTGGATACGTTTACAAACACGAAGTATGAAGAAATAGACAGAGGAAGTAACTGATATACATCATTTGATAGTAGTTTAATGGACCTGCGTATCAAGGTATGAGTAAATCGTTCGACTTGTCTGTCACATGTCACTGAAATCGATCACATCTGACAATCATATTCAATAAAACATCTTGAAGACATAGCAACGGAATTATATCGGTCGTAACGTCAAGTTGGAAAAAAAAAATTAAAATTAGCATTTTAATTTGCTCGCACGATCGATCGGCATCGTTATACTAGTATCCATGGTAATCGTACAAAGATGCAACGAAGTGTATTCAATAGAACGTTCTGCGAGAACGCGAAGAGTCGAATTTCATTTATTTTTATATATTACGTATCTCACGATTAAATATTCGAATGTCTAAAAATAATGCGAAACCGAATCTACAGTATTGAAGATTATTATATTTCTAGATCACTCGTGATAAAGAACAGTACATGCTCACGTTTTCCTTGTTATACTATATAACTACTAGACGTGGTACGCTAGACTCGGAAAAAACATGCCGCAGAAAAATAATAAGACCAGGAAAAGAAATATTGTACACAGAGAGATGCATGATGTTCACTGAATTCAAAGCTATTACACATGACAATTTCGAATATTGAACCACCCCTATGTCTGAATTGTGTTGCATTATAGAAACTCGCTTGGTTTTCTTCTTTAAGGTCGAATATTCTGCATATTCATGTCTTCACTAGCAGACGACACACCATATCATACGTATTGTGTTCAGGTGACGTAGCCGGTTAAATTCTGTGAATCCGGTATCCCAATCCCTAACGTAATTAATTGGTTGCATGGTTTACATTGTATGTACGATGCGAATAATATTGCTTCGCATATTTATGTTTTGACGGAGTGGTATTTTCGCTGCATTGCGTTTCAATGGTCATTTAACTTACACGGTATGTACGCGCAGCAGGAATACTTTGGCACTGTAATAATCTCGTATACACGTCAGTATGTGTCTTCTTCGTGGACGAAGTATGTCGCCAGTATGCCCCAATCCCAACCCTCGTATTCAGGAAGCAATAACAAACAAATTGATATCTGTTCATAATCCAGTTTCCATAGTGAGAGTATCACGTGGTGCCATTGCTGAATTTTGATACTGACCCTTTGTAGAAAATATAATCCTCGATATGTTTCAAGTTCTAATGAACGCTACTACGTGATCCCCGTATCTTGCTTTTGGGACAAACGATCTACCCCCGATTGAGTGTGCTCCTCACTGCAAACATAGGATTGATTAATTTTGACATTAAATGTTTCAGTCTATGTAAGCCTGAGTGGTGTACTATATACACTCTCCCTACCAAGATCCCATGAATGATGCAAAGCCTGATAAAGTCAAATGTGAGCCTGTCTTCAGTAAAGCACCGCTGTCAATATGTTATGCCGTCACAGTCACTTAAACTGTAATAGCTTTGATCCTAATGAAGCCGTGCCTGCACCGACTACATGTATTTTATTTTCGCTTGGCAAGCCTGGAGTACTAGTTACAATATCCCAAAATTTTACGGTCGACGTGTTACTGAACTCCATTTGTCGCGATGTAATAGAATGATTTGTAGTCGACACGTATAACAGAGGATGATAACAGGACTCGCATGTTCACCAGAATTCTTTTTTTTTATTCAGTTTGTCTAGGTCGCTGCTTAAATTAACATTTTTGCTTCGATATAACAAATATTATACATTCACATTTAAAACGTAAATTTGCTCAACTTTCAAGTTAAATTTAATGATAATAATTATAATTTCATAAATATCACGATTTATTATTAAACAAAGCTTTTTTCCAGTTATCACCTTCATGGTGTGTATTTGACGGTACAATACTGTAAAATACTTTATTTTCAATTGCAATGCATTTTCGCTAGTTGCGCTGAATGAATCAATCAGCGAAAATAAAATCCAGTGAAAACACTTTTTTTTAAATTTTCATTCAGGTTTACTGCCTACAAAACAATCAAAAGGTCCGCAGTCAATTTATTTCACAGTAATATCGATGCCTTTTTTGTATTCGTCTTTTTCTGTGAATACTTAGAGTAGGTAAATGACGAGCAAAAGTTTGCAAAATTGTGCTCACTAGATAAGATAAGACGAGTTTTTTATCGTAAAGAGTGGGCAACATTTTTCCGTGGCAAACAAGACTCCTCATTTTGAAATAAATCAGGTGGACAGAACAGTCAGCTGCAATTGTTATTTATATTTGTAGTGGGAATATTGGAAAAAGAAAGTGTAAACAAACAAGTTCTGGCTACATATGTACACGATGAAAACAAACCTTCACAATTTCAAACGGTCGATAATTAAACTGTTTAAAGTGAAAGTTCTCCTAACCGTTTACAAAAATTTGTTATCTGATTTGGTGAGTAAAATGTTGTTTGTCAAATTTTGGTCACCGCTTACCCACTTCACGTGAGCTCTCGTCGCTGTCATGTTGGTACACATCATATGAACGTCAAACTGTGTTGGTCGTAGCAGTGGAAATTTTTTAAATAATAATTCTTTGATTTTGCAGAGAAAAACTAAATTTTATATGTATATAAATTAAAGTTCAAAGAATTATTAATCAACGTCACAACAAATGCGCGATTAGTAAGAGAACCCGTAAATGAAAATACTCTATTTTGCAATAAAATAAAACTTCCAGCAACATACGTTGAAAGTTGATGTGGTAGATATAAAATAATTGCTGGCTGTGACAAAGGATGAACAAAATAATGTATCGAATGACGCTATACTGGTTTTGCTATTCTGAACACAAATCTGGGTTTTTAAAAATAGCAAAAAACTATAGAACTATTCTGTAAATATAATTTTTTTTTATTGTTTTTTTTTTGTGTCAGGCGACAGTTAAGTGTCATTGTAGTCTCTCCTGACTTTTTTTTTTAAAGTACAAATTGCAAGTGCTAGTGCTGACACATTTTGCCACAGAAGTCATATTCATGTTTAGAACTACATGAAAGGGCTGCATCAAATGGCAATTTAATGCGCTATCCTGGCGTCAACCAGGCTCTGTCGAACATAAGCACCTGTGAAACTTAACAAAATGTTCCCCTAAAATCGCATTCATTAGTGAATGAATCTCGGCCAGTGGAATATTGGGCCTTCCCATTGAGTCTGTGGCACCCAGGGCAAGGGTCACCCAGGGCAAGGGTCACCCAGGGCAAGGGTCACCCAGGGCAAAGGTCGATCCTTTTGATGTTCAGCCTAAGGTTTCTGTTTGTTTTAATAATATTCAGTTTGACAAACATTCCCAAAATACGGTACTGCAACATGCTGTTTCATTTACCACGGGATGCTATGATAGTACATAATAAACCAATACACGTCATTCTATAAGATTTTTGATTTTCTGAAAGCGAAAGATTAATGAGATATTAGGTAAACCCACAGACCCTCTACAAAATAACTTATATATCCCAGCATGCAACACTAAAAACGCAAATTGTCTTTGAATACTAGTATAGTACTTGTAGTAAACATAAGGATGGTTGCAATAAACGGGAGTAATTTAACTCAGTCGGCACATCAACGTACGCTTTTAATGATTGATATGATGGTAAACAAGTCATCGCGGCTTCCTGTCTTCCATGTCGCCAATATGATTTATTTTTACTAAATAATTCCAATAATGCAAACAAAGCAGCACTTTGACCTTTGACACGGTGCTTGACATACGCCATTATTTAGACGCATAATGAAATGAAATAATATAATTGTCATTGCAGTCGACGACGCATGCGCATTGTAACGCCCCTGCGTAGCCATTCCTCTTGTTTATATGGCTTTAGTTGCTTTTCGTAGACGAATGAGGTTACACTTTGTTTTGATAGTGTGACGTCAGCTTAATTATTCATGTCACAAAATATATATCTTTGGTTATGATAAGGACCACGGTCTGATTCCTTCAGTAACATTCTTTTTTCCTCTAACATACTGTCCGTCTTTCTTTTTCCGGACCTGTTCTCCTATTTACTCCGCGTGGCATTGTTGTATATAATAAATAAATCTCAGGATATAAAATAGCTGATGTGTTGCGTGCGAACGGCGTTTGTGAAATCATGGAGGTAGCTCCATGGTGAAAGAAGTACTCAGGAAACGTAACTGGTCTTCCCGAAACATGATTTGCATTCTACTGTTAAGCTCCAGCGATCAATCAACATTAATTAAGCAAGATTTATGCAAATTAAACAGTTAAACTAAGACCGTGGCACATGTGTTTGTTTTTAATAATTTAAACCTAGTTTATAATGTGTTCTACTCACCATAGAATTTTGAAATTTTCACTCAAAAAGAAGGACGTTTTCTGCTATATAAAAAGTTAAAAAAGTGAAATCACACCTCATAATGCATTTTACTCTGCATCGCCACCCTAAGACTTGAATTTTTTTTATTTACTGTGAATCATGATTGTTGTGTCGACTCAGATATCACAAATTAAGCGAAATATTCATTGGATCAGAATGATAAGCTTTCTGGTAAAAATATACAAATCGTACAAAATTGTTCAAAGTAAAAAGTAAGACAAGAAAGATTATATTAATTTTAATCATAATGACAAAGAATGGTGATATATGTCAGCATTTAAAAGTTATTAATTTGAAAATTACCGAAATAAAATTACCGAAATAAAATGGTGGACCCCCCATCAGTGATCGTAATCGAAATTTAGTTGAGTAGATCACGTGACTACCTGGAAATAAATGATAAGTGTGATACCAAAGCAGTTTGTGATTTTTACAAAGAAAATAAAGATATATATTTGAAGAAAATGATATAGTACAAGTCTAACATTAATATAAACACTAACAAATCATAACGTACGTAGAGTTACTTTAAAAACCTTTTGTTATTGAAAAGTACAATGTGGAGTCGTGTGGTAGAAGCATATTTACAGTTAACAATTTATTTTATTGTTTGTTTGTTATTTACCTAACTGTGTCCTCCGACGATATGGTTGTGAGTGTTACGGGGTGACTGTGATTTGGCCAGAATTTTTTACCCAGGATATATACAGATAACCTACACTACAAAAGCAAATTTGCATGATCTTCACTAAACATCTTCATTTGTATTACAGTGCGTCGAAATGGAAAGTAGTGCAGCCTTTCTGTATTTGACTTGCTTGTTGTTAACCATAGTAGCAGAGAAAATTAATCACCTTGATTACAGTAAGTTACCAATATATTAGATATCACGTGATTGTTTGATCTCGCGATAACACGGAGAACGTTAGTGGATGCGCCAAATTATTTATAAATATAACATAACTATTACAACTCTGTCAAACTAGATGAAATCACGACTGAGAATTCAGGATAAGAACTAAACTGTGACGATGCACAGGCTACTTTTTATAAATTGTTCCAAAACAATGAAATAATCTGTCTGAACAAAAATTTGCATAAATATTGGCTAGAATTTTAAGTAATAATAATTTTGATCCAAAATGTTGGAAAACATTGAAGTGAGATCATATAATAAATATAGTCTTTGCATCAGTTTAAAACTTGTGCCTCTGAGACACGTTTTGCCAATTTTGCATACCGATAAAGTGCGCCACATACGGCAGAATGAGATAAATGTTGTTTTTCTTTCAGAGAATGATTTGTCGATCCAAATCATATTGTTGTAGTCGTAAAATTTATATTACATGTAGAATTCAATGTATTGTTTTATCTAATCATGATTGATACGTATTGGACAGCATATTACTAACATTTAGTTCCAATTATTAGTATTATAATTGTCTTCATTCGGTGTATTTATTGCTATGTCTAACAAATGACGTATTTTAGCCAAAATTTAACACATATATTGAAACGTATACTTGCTAGTCACATCAAAATTGAGCTGAATTGACCTTTTAGTAACTGATAAGATTTTAAAAAGAAAAAAATTGTTTTGAGTTACCGTAACTCGAAGACGAATTCAGGTGAATTTAATTAAAGCGGGAGTGTCGTCACCTGCGCACGCGCGGGAATTGAGTCCCAACCGATGATAACAACACACACAAACAACGCAAAGGCTCATGAGTAGACGCTTGTTTGTAATCAATGACACGCTATGGCCATCTGACGCATACGCAGGTGACGACTCTTTCGCTTTAATATACTAGTACATAGAACAAAAATAGAACTTCGATGAGATCACAAACTGGGTAATTTAATGATATCCAAGTTTGAAAGAAATGGATAGACAATGATATACATTGACCTCCATCTACGGTGATTTGAAAATCTTTTCAGATGTTGATCACCTGCCGAACCACCACAGAGACCTTGATGCAGTTGTGGAATTCGTCACAGGCGGTCATCGTAGAAACGCCAGAGACGCGGACCAGAATGAAACGAACTACGTCGTAGTAAGTAGAAAGTGTCACGTGTCTCGGTGGCTTATTTACATTACGTGCATGTATATTGAAATCGCGCGTTAATTAGGTCACTACTCGACGCATGGAGACGGGAACAGACACTGGTGGCGCTGTATATAATCGAGACCTATTGAGGCTTGCCGTAGCTCATGTACAGTACATTTCAGCACGGTTACTTTAGTAACCGTGATTTCAGTATAAACTGCAGAAACAGTTGTTAAATGTGGTGAGTTGCGCCCTCCGCGGTGCTCCAAACCCAATTCTGGCTTTCCCATAACTCTAGACGTAGGTTATATTTCCTTGCGAACTATTGGTCTTTCTACTTACTGCTCGTATATCATCGTTTGTACACGCTATTGCAGGAGGAAATACAGCATAGTTATTACACAGCTAGTTACTATGGACACGAAACTAACGTAGTTGATGACTATTGGGTTGCCACTGATATTGAAGACACGCATGATTTATTGTCAAATCGTCATAGAACAGGCGTGGTAAGTTATTAATGATCCCGTTGAACTACAGTCTGTTAAGAATCATGATCAATGCAGTGCCACGTTTTCGCGCGAGCATACGTTATATCTCCCGCATAGCAACACAGGGCAAACCAATAAAAAAACATTTTTTTTTTATTTTGAAAAAAATACAATTGTTCTCGGCTCACTATTTTATTGCTGAGGCTTTTATGGAAATATCAACTTTTATTTCAACTTGTCATTTCAACTTGTCATTTCACGACAAATAAGTATATTACGGGCGCTTTGATTTAAGCAGAAGAGATGAGTCCACAGAGTCCACAGTCAGGGAAAATATACAGACGCACAAATAAAAAAAAAATGTAGTTGATCTGCGTATTTCAATCTTTTAAAAACAAATCAAACTATGGTATCTGTTTTATTTATTTAGACGGGTATTTCACAAATATTTTATGAGCGATATTATTTTTTCAAATTTCAGATGCAAAGTTTATCGTTCACATTCCCTTTTTATGGTCATGATGTCAACAATGTAGTCGTAGCTACTGGCGGTTTTATCTATCTCGGATCTTACATCCACAAATGGCTGGCTGCTACGCAATATATCTCCCCTTTAATGGCGAACTTTGACCCCAGCTACAGTGACCAATCGACAGTTAGGATACATGACAATGGTGAGTTCATAGGAGGCACGTGACCTTGGCTACAAACAATATATCTATTCACCATGCATTAATTAAAAGAATTGATTATTTGTAACTATACATTTTACATTTATAGACGGAATATTTACTACGGAATGGAACAACGTTTTCCTGGCAGATCATACTGAAGGTACAACATTTACTTGTTGATGTTATACAGCGCCACCAACGGCCATATGATAACTTTTCTCTTAATTCGTTTTGGGGGATGGGGGGGGGGGGCAACAGCATGCGATGGTAAAAAGTCAATCGAATTCATAATAATGTTAGGCGGGTATGGAAATAAGATATATTTGAAAAGTGATTTTGTTTTCATTTTCATTCGTAATTATAGCTGGGAACTTTACCTTCCAATGTTCATTGCATCGAGACGGTCGTATCGTGTTCGCCTATAAACAGGTGAGTGTGTTAACGACTGAACTGCAATATACACGGTAAAGGCGTTATATGAATCAAGCACCTTTTTGAGTTATTTTATCTTAGAAATAAATAAAAACTTTATTGACATTTTTTTAATTTTGAATAAAACATAGTCAAATGCTTTACTAAACAATAAAAAAGAAGAAGAGACGTTACATGTATGTGATATGACTAGGATGAATGAATGAGTATATTCAAATCTGAAATGAATTATATGCTGAGTGGCCTACGGTTGGGCATTTTACGACTGTGTGAAATGGAATGATGGGATAGGTTTGGCTTGATGAATCCCATGATGTTTAGGTGTTTGGTGACCGTACACAATATCTTTCAAAAGTTTCATTAGTCTTTCATCTTTAAGAACAGACACACTGATGGGTGGTGCAAAGATGCATTACAACGTACTACAATATGTTATTTCAACAAATATTTATTCTCTTGTTTAATGTTTTGCAGATAGCGAAACCGATTGCGAATATTTCAGACTCGAACCATCCGGTTAAAGTTGGCTTAGCGGACGCCTACTATCAGGACACACCCATAGGACGTGGTATGTTAACGTTTGTCAGATTATGCAGCAGGATGATTTTCTATTGATTGAGAAAATTAACAAAAATATAATTTGGAAAAAGCAAAAAATAGGAAGAGGAGAGGGGTTAGAAGAGGTGTCACCAACTAGCAATATCTTTCAAAACGGCCACTGTACAACAATAAAAAATGACATTATGTTATTATGTGTGTTGCCAAACGTTACTTAGATTTTTATGAAATGTCCGCGTATCGCTCACTTACGACAACATTATTTAATCGTAGTCACTTAGAGAACTTTTTAATGACTGGCATTGCATTGTATTTCTGTGTTACCAGGCATGGTCAGACGTACCATATACGAATACCACAGCATTGGTTTGGAAATCACAGGAGTAGAGTCTGGTGGCGCTATTCTTCTCCAACCACAGCCCAGTGAGTGTTCTCCGTGTTATTTCAATAAACTATCATCCCATGCACAACTTGTAAACGTAGTATGACAGTCGTGTTCGATATAAATCTCACCCACGTGACGTACACAGTCGTGTTCTATATAAATCCCACCCACGTGGATGGTGTACATATCGAATACGACTGTGTACGTCATTAGCTATTTTTAAGTTACTGAAGACTACGGTTACCAAATATTATCTTCTATATGTGCACGTTGTATGCCGCCCTCTAGTGACGAATTTCATCTACGACGTGAATGGGGGACACGGAGGTCGTTTAAACCGTGGATATCGTTTTGATCTGTAGTCGACCATAGATATGTTAAACAACAAAAGTTAAATTTCAAGTATATTGTACAATGCCCGTAATTCACACCTGATTGATGTTTCAGCTTGTAACGAGTTCACGTCCTGTGATCAATGTACCAGTAGTCAAATTGGATTCAATTGTAGTTGGTGTGAAGTTACTGAGAAATGTTCCAGTGGTTTCGACAGGCATCGACAAGAATGGGTTATAAGCGAATGTGATAAACACGTAAGTAGGCCGATTTATGAGTAGGTGGGTACTAGTACGCTAACCGGAAATTACGTTATTTAGCACCTCTAATCAGGGTAGTAGTAGTAATAATAATAATAATAATAATAATGCCTTTATTGAAATCATACCCTGTTCAGGATCTGGATTTTTAAAATACAATAAAGTTTCAGATACAATCAGGGTATGTTTATTTAAAATTGGGATAGTTATTGATACTATGTGGCATTTTGGAAAATGAATATACGTGGTATAAACATGGGTCATAATAGTTAGCATAGGTTGAACTCAGTGTGGTATAACTTATCGTAGTTATACTTTGTGCGTGCACAATGGCTCCTATGGAGACCCGTAATGCTTTTATCGGGCAATCTTCGGCGAGGACATGTATTAATTGAATATAACATGTAATTGGTATTTTATTGTTTCTACTAGGGGGTTAAGTGGCAACATCAGTGTCCAGTTACGACCACGCCCACTCTTACTACAAGTACAGCGACAACCGTAGTGACATTGCCTCCTCGTTCCCACACTACTACCAGTGTTCCAAATCTGGGTAAGAACCAGTTAAGCATTCGCCAGAAAATCGTCTAGATGCGAATTGTTATACATACACATTTTACCCAGTACCTATACAGGTAAATATTATTGACACCCGTCTCTAAAAGCGGAGAATAATTTTCTTTACTTATAACGTTTTGTAGATGTCAACCCGTGCCTTAGCAACCCCTGTTCCCATGGTATATGTGCAGTCAATAACCATGGCAACTATGCATGTGACTGTAATCCCGGATTCATCGGCAAAACATGTGGGATTAGTAAGTAACCATTTTTTCCCAATACAACAAGAACACATTTTCATTCATTGTACTTCCGATCGCATATATGTTTAATTTAAGTTATTGTTACATAGTATATCGCGTGACATTTTCTCTTTAATAACTCAGATATAGACGAGTGTGCAAGCAATCCGTGTTTACACGATGCTAGATGTACTGACGGTATAAACAAATACTACTGTGATTGTTTACCTGGCTATGAGGGTGCACAGTGTCAAAAAAGTAAGTAATTGAATAAAACACAAGTTGTAGAACTGACCAAATTGTCTACCAGAAATTAAACGCCTAATTATTCAAATACGGCCTTGCTTATGTTCATATCTCGCCTGATACAAGTTATGTAGTGTTTAATTCACATGGCCATTTGAACAATCAGAGTAATTGTGTTATTTGCCTTTAGTCATAGAAATGGATTTTTGTGCCGAATTGACGCCATGTCTGAATGGAGGAACATGCATCAACGAAGTGGACGGTTACCATTGCAAATGCATGTTAAATTGGCACGGCAAAACCTGTCAGAAAAAAGGTATGTTTAAAACTTCGGGCAGGGATGTGTATTTGGCCCAGTGGTGGCACTCTGTGGGTAATGCCGAAATAACCACACTCGTTTAAGTATCCCAATTTGCTCGCATAACACCCATATATAAATCGGAGAAAATTGGATGAAAATTACTCGGTATTTTGAAAGTCTGGGCGTTAGAAAATCTCATTTCTGTGGTTGAATGAGTCAAACTCTTATATCAAGTTCCATTATGGTGACCTGGGATTTCTTGAAAAAATGAAAATACTATTATACAAATACCCGGGAAATATGTACACAATATTTCACAAAAAAATACCCTTGTAAACAGGAAGTCGACGCGGATGGATACTCATTTGCTGCAATAGTGCCACCACCGACTGGCCAAAAATGTGCGCTTAGAAAATGCCATGCATTGTTTGTATTGACCACGTAGTATTATTCAAAATAGTATTATTCAAAATAGTATTATGCAAAATAGTATTATGCAAAATAGTATTATGCAAAATAGTATTATGCAAAATAGTATTATGCAAAATAGTATTATGCAAAATCGTCGACCATTTTCCAGTCCATTCAATGACAGTAGTCGTGTTTTCAGATTTAAAGGATACACCTGAGGTGAAATGCAATAAAAACTCCTAATCGCTTTACGGGAATATCGAGATGATTGGACTTGTAAAGAAATGTCTCGTCTCAGGTTGTAGCGTCCTTGCGCATTCTATTTTGAAATAGGGCGTTAATTTGCACTCCCTTCATTGCTATCTGAGTTGCGCACCTAAGTATATTATGAATACCGGTATACATATATACAATGACAGTGTACAATTAGAATCCCAAGTCTTAATTATTGTTTGCAATAACATAATTATTACAATTGACATACTACTAAAACATTTTCAATACAAGGTTTCATTTCAGATACAAGCAATGATATTCCCAACGGTGAGCCGGTCAAGCAGGTCCAAGACGACGTCAACAGGTCGCCATCTAGCGGTAGATCAGGCACTGTCGTTGGTGGCGTGTTCGGCATTCTAATAACCATAGTCGTTATCGTAGTTTTGATTGGTTGGACGGCGTATGCATACAGATTCCCGACGACTAAGTCCGGAATACTGTTAATCGAGGTATGTAGTCGTTAATTTTAGAACGACCAGAAGTTTCCTTTGATGTTGATGACTAGTCTGTATTATGATTTATTCATAGAGTCTATAATTTAGACGAAAAACGCTACTCTCTGTTAGAGAATTTCATTGTTTCGTCGAGCTTTGTGCTGCAAGAACAACGTTTTCAGTTCATGATGAATAATACATTTCTTCATGAACACATGCAGTATCAACAATAACTTCAAAATACGCACAGTTGGCGTTTTATTAGTTACTGTAGAGCGGGATATATTCACTGCATTTATAATTTTGCCATATTTGATGTTGTAGGGATAGTCATTATGTTTTAAATTCACTGGTTTGTGAAGTAAACATCATATTCCATTAACTGTAAATACTAACTGGTTTTTAATGTAGCGCAATTAGCAGTCAGGGAAATAAGCACAAATAAAACCCAGCGAATAATTAAACTTTATACAGTACGATGTGCATGTACCACAATGATAGAACTGTGCTTCGAGTATACAGTACGATGTGCATGTACCACAATGATAGAACTGTGCTTCGAGT